TCTGTGCAGCCAAAGACAGAACAGTTAGCATGTTTTGCTCAAACTTTCGCCATGGCATTAGAGCTGGTACACCGTTGTCGCTTGTGAAATCAAAATGATGGAGTCGTGGGTGGAAACTTACAGATTAAGGGACTGTAATATTATAATGAGATCCCTTTGCAACGTCACAAGGGGCGCGAAATCAGACGTGTTCGTTTTTCAGACGCTTGCAGAAAAAGGCTTACCAAAACAAAGTTACTGGGTTAATCTTTTTCACGTTTCCTTGGTTGGTAGATGCACCGGGGACCTGATTATAGCACTTAAAACCTGGAAAAGTCAGATTTTCATGATATGTCACCTTTAAGTATTTGTTTATTTAAAAATACTTTACTAATCAACATTGGATTGTGTGCCTTATATTCGTAATGCTCTTTATTGATTTAATAAAGAAGATTATTTCAGTCACGTGGTCCTGTTATTCTTTGAGAATCCAACAATTAGTATCTCTAAATTATTGCGCTAACATTTAATAGATGCTAAATTATTAAACCATTTTATCATCTGCCTTTTTATATCTACCTTTTATACAACATACAATAGCTATGCTAAATATTAAAGCAGTAATTATACATTTAATGTTTATTAATTAGCATAGTAATGAACATACTAAAACATTTTCTAGTTTGATAGCTGAGAGGCACTCAAATTTAAATAGCACACTTAAAATAATAGGGAAACATCCAAATGGGTTATGTGAACAATGTCATGTTGAAGAAACAATACCTCATGTATTTCTTGAATGTAGCAATTACGAACAAGAAAGAGGAAAAATGGAATTCAGGATCTTAATTTTAAAGGGGTCATATGATGCTTTTTTAAAGATCATTATTTGGTGTATTTGGTGTAACAGAATATGTTGACATGCTTTAATGTTCAAAAAACACATTATTTTTCAAATACTGTACATTATTGTAGGTCCTCTATGCCCCGCCTCTCTCAAACGCTTCGTTTTCTACAAAGTCCCTCCTTCCGACAAGCGCAGTCTGCTCTGATTGGCCAGCTGACCCAGTGCACTGTGATTGGCCGAACACCGCAAGTTGATAAATAGAATATAAAACGCTGTTCCACACTCCGGAGCAGAAGGTGGCACCTATTTGCGTTTGTGCCAGCCGCCGTTAAAAACCAAGAAGAAAAAGATAGCTGAGAGGCTCTGTTGGAATCCGGAGTCTCATCTTTATCTTTAAAATCGATTCTTGAAAATAAGGAATATGAAGCAACAAAGGTTGTTATAAGTTTTTTTACTCCACACTGGTCTTTATTTGAGGATTTCATCTATGAGATGGAGTTCTTCAGATGAACTGAGGAGGGCAGCAATACGCCTTTGAAGCGTCTAAGCTGCCGCAAATCACACAAGAAGAAGAAGAAGAAGAATTTTGGTTTTCTTTTTGATGATTTTTTCAAATTGCACATGGATGCCGATTGGTGGAATATATCTGTAATGTCCTTTAGTGCCAGATTTATGCCTACTTTATTTTGTGGATATGTGTTAATTATAAATTTGTCCAATAGTCATTTGATAGTTTGACTTTCGATTGCACTTTGATAATTTTCTTTGCTGTTTTTTGTCCATTTGTAGGATTGATGCAGCTTTAGTAACTGAGAGGGCTGTCTGCATATTTGATAGTTTTGAGTTGGTTTTAGATAGAGTGTAATTTTACAGTGGTCTGACAGAGGTGTTTGAGGACTGACTGTGAATGCTCTGAGATGCACTTGATCAATGTCTGTGATGAAATAATCTACAGTACTGTTACCAAGAAAAGAATTAAAGGTATAACAACCAAAAGAGTCTCCTCGCATGCGACCATTCACTATGTACAGGCCCAGTGATTGACAGAGCTGTAGTAGGCTTTTCCCACTTTTGTTTGTGAAGCGGTCATAATTTTTTCTGAGGTGATATGAGGGCAGAGAGTGGCAGGTGTTTGCAATATATTTGTCTCCTTGTGTGTTGACAAAGTCGACTTCATTTCCAGTTCTGGCATTTAAGTCACCACATATTAAAACATTTCCTTTTGTCTGGAAATGGCAGATCTGGCAGATCTGGATAGAAAAGGTTTCTTCATTGTAATAGGGAGATTCAGCCGGGGGTAAGTATGTGGCACATGTGGCACAGTGACGGTCTGTGGACACAATATCTTTTTGTATTTTTAGCCAAATGTACGATTTTCCGATTTTTATAGATTTGATTGAGTCTCTGAGTTCTGTTCTGTACCATATCAGCATTCCCCCTGAGTCTCTGCCCTGTGTCACCCCTCTTAGTTTGGTTGATGGTAAAATGATTTCTCTAAACCCAGTTGGGCAGCCAGTGGACAAATCTCTTACATTCCATGTTTCTTGTAGTATTATAATGTCAGAATTCTGAATTTCTCTTTTGAAATCTGAATGTTGGCTCTTAACACCAAAAATGGAGGACCTAAGTCCTTGAATATTCCAACATGAGATTTTTAAGGAATATGAGTTCATTAATCACCTTTGTTATTTAAAAAACAAGACAAACATCAGTATGCTGAATCGACAGATCAAGTGGAATATTGAAAATATTATGATACATGTCTAAGAATATCTTTTAAAATAAATGTATAAATAATAAATGTCTAATATATATATATATTGTTTTTTTTTTCAAAAATACATTAAATAATGAGATCTCTAAGAGGTTCTTTTAAAAAATAAATATATAAATAACACACACACATGTGGGCTACATTAAAAATACACGTGTAGATACATATGTACACGCATACATTTCTCATCTTTTTTTTTTTTTTTTAA